GGCATAGTGCTTTAATGAGTGAATGTTCATACATTACTGTCTCAGAAGGATGAAGGGAGATGATCCTAAGTCCAAGAAGAAGAGTGACTTGTAGTCTAGTCTGGGTGACTATGCTAAGAACTGCAACAAAACTGTAGTAGAGGCAGCCAAAGGTAAGAGAGCCAAAGACAAAAGGAAAAGCTATCCAAGATGTGAAAAGAGGTAATTTGAAGCCAGGTTTCCTCATGGCAAGCAGAAAAACCAAAGATTTTCAAGCAAGTGAGTAATAGAAGGCTTATTTTACAAAGACACGAGACAATTATGATGAAATGTAAAGACGGCTTGTTTCATCATAGCAGATGGAGCCATGAGAGAGTGAAACCACAGGAGAGAAACAGCTACTCAACAACCAGACAAGAGAAAAGGAAGCCTAGAAAGGACTCAAAGGTGCTGATTTTTTTCCAAGCTGAAAGTTAATAAAAATATATATTAGTATTGATAATATTTACAGATAATATTTAAAGCCAGGATTGGTGAGATGAATCACTAGAAAGCTAAAGAGGAAACTCTAGAAAACATTTACAGTGAAAACTGAAAATGCACCCTCAAAGATTAAAAAAAAAGTCCAAGAAAAAATGTTATAGAAGTCTAGTTTCCAGGGGTCAGAGAGATGGCTCAGAGGTTAAGAACACTGACTGTTCTTGCAGAAGACCCAGGTTTGAATCCCAGCACCCACATGGCAGCTAAAAACTGTCTGTAACTCCAGTTCCAAGGGATCTAACAGTCTCTTCTGTCCTCCGAGGGCATTGCATGACACGGGTGCACTTACCTACATGAAGGCAATACATACATACACATAAAATAAAAATAATAAATAAAATATTTTTTTAAAAAGTCTAGTTTCCAGTTCACAGAGGGAGGGGGTACTGGTTCAAGGCATTAATGATACTGGTATTGTCAGACTAGCAAACAATTTAAAAGACTGACCAGAAACACTGCTGACAGTGAATTAATCAATTAATAGGGGAAATTTTAAATAATACTAGAATAAATTTGAAGTGTATTGTTTAGAATTTATGGACAACTGGTCAGGCATGGTGGTGCACACCTTTAATCCCAGCATTCAGGAAGCAGAGGCAGGTGGATCTCTATGAGATTGAGGCCAGCCTGGTCTACACAGTGAGGCCACCTGCGGCTGCAAGGAGACCCTCTCTTAAAAAGACCCAAAACAAAAACAAAACTCATCTACAGCCATACCACCCTGAACACACCCAATCTCGTCTAATGTTGACATCCTAAATATATAAAACCTTTGCTAGCATTCCCTCTCTAAGAAACTGTCACATACTTTCACAGTATACAAAGATATATTAATGTGCACACAAGATTTGTTCACTATAGCATTATTTATGTTATTAAATAACTACCAACATAGAAATAAATAATGAAACTATAGTTGACCCATACTCTGACATTAAAACAGCCATTAAAAAGAAAACACATTACTGTGAAAAGTTGTCTAAAGTAGATTTTGCTGGCAGAGAGCAGTTTACAGAAACACATGTATATAATAATTCTAGTTATGTTAAAAAGAGCAAAACTGTATATATACTCATGAATAAATCACACAGGAAAAAAATGTAAAAGAAAAGACAGCATGCCTTTTACAGCAATTATTCCAGGGAGTAGAATGTGAATGGAACATACCTGGGAAGGGAGATGAGCCTGGACCTTTTACTTTCAATGCTATTTAATTAATAAAAATAGTGTATTACTTTGATAATTTTTAAACTACCAATCCAAATATAAAGTAACAAAATTAAATAGGAAATTGAAATTATTAAAACCAAATATGAGCCGAGTGTGGTGGTGCATGCCTTTGGTCCCAGCACTAAGGAGGCAGACACAGGCAGATCTCTATGAGTTTAAAAAGACAAACAAACAAACAACAACAACAACAAAAAAACCCACAACCAAATATGGTCTGAATAAAGAAATAAAAATTGGCAATTGCTATTCTCACCCTTAATTCTGACCTTTCCATTGTCTTTTTCCAGAATGCCCCCAACCATCCCCTCAAATTGCCTAAATTACAGAACCTGAGAGCTACTGTATAACCCTTCCTCTCTATTCAGTTAGTCAGCAAATATTTATCGAGTGCCTTCTATGTGTCAAAAACTATTTTAGATACAAAGGATGCTGTTTATATCTTGTCTTAGAACAAATCTGACAACTGCAAAGAACAAAACTGCCAAATCAACTGCAAGTCCTACAGCTTCAGTTTCTTAGAAACCTCTGAAATCTCTCCTACAATTTAATTTTTATGTTAATTTCAAATTTCAAACGAAGATATATGCTGGATTAGATTCCTGAAATTCTATCCTTTGGGAATTGTTCCTCGTGCCCTTCTAACCTACCTTCATAATATGATTACAGGGAGTTCATCAGAAACTTCTCTCTTGGATATTCCTCAAATCACAGTCCTTTACAATGCCTACTTATGTATCCTGCCTTTCCACCACTCTTATTTAGCCTCTAACCTATGTACTTCACACCAGTACAGCTAAACTGCTCACTGTTACTTAGTACTGTATTTTCCCTACCATCAAGATGTTACTTCTGCTTACAATTCCTTTCACCACTTTGCCCAGCAAAGTCTTGCACATTCCTTAAGACTAAGCTTTATAAACCTAGGCTTCTCTGTCCTATGCACTTCTATTCTTCCCCATACTGCAGCTGTTTATAGTGGCTACCTTCTTGTAAGCTCCTGACAGATATCATGAACATGAATCAAGTTCCCTGCACAGTGCCTGGCATTTAAAAATATTTAGTAAATGTTAGCTTAAAATACTTTTTAGAATTAGACTATAAGCTTTACTGGGAGCACAGCCTTTATGCTTATTTTTTAGCAATGGAATTCTGAATTTCAAGCCAACTAGAAATAGCTCATCTGCAAGCTTCAATCCTGTATCACCAATATACAATATACAATATTGGTGGGCTGACTTCACATCTGCAATACTGAGGAAACTTACCTCAAGGAGCTATTCACATGTTACTTTTGCTTAGGATTTGATCTCCTACTCTCTTCTCCCTTAGCTGAATTGTTTATGTACTGAAAAGTCCGTAAGAAAAGCTCTTTTCTATTTGACTTTAACATTAAAATTATGCCATTCTATTATTTAATAGCTATCAAATCTGTAGTCTGCCTGTGTAAAGAACTGTTAGGGTTTCTTATAATATTCTTCAGTTTCCAGCCCCATTCTTAAGAAATATTGTGATGATCTAGTCTTTACTGACATTTCAGCATGCTTTCTTACTCAGATGGACTCTTTAGTCCTGAGTTCTTCACTACCCTGGATTCTTTACTACCGATCACAGATACTGGTCTAACGTCCAACCAGGTCGTAAACTCCGAATTCTTTGGCTTCTCAGTCTTCTAACACTAACAACATCCCTGAGCACAAAAGCCAATAAATATTTTCAAATTTTGATATCGAAAAAGGCATCAAATTCTAAACACTGGTAGGTCACTGAGGACAAATTTTGTATTGCTCTATCACCAGCCTTCTTTAAAAGTTGTATGTGGAATATTAACTTGTGAGCTTCTGGGCAACCTATTTATAGACACATACATTTCCAACAGAAGTAATGTGCTACAACAGAAGTACTTTCCACTCATTATTAAGAAATATTTCCAACAAGCTCATCAAAAACTTGAAATTTTTTCTTTCAAATTTAAGATTTGGTGATCATGATAGTAATAAGATCTTATTTCATCGTTATTTCAATAATGTGTTCTATCATCACAAGTTTGTGAGAAAACAATCTGTTTCACTGTCATCTGTTATATGGGAATTAATTAATATATAACTTTGGCTTAAGACATTAAAATAATTTAACTTATGTAGAGTATACATAGACATTATGGAATATAAATGTTTTATTAACTATGTCTATATACAAAACAAAAAAAATAAGCAATTCTTTTAAAAACTAGAGTGTTGGGGGTTGGAGAAATGGCTCAGCAGTTAAGAGCACTGGCTGTTCTTGCAGAAGACCCGGGTTTGAATCCCAGCACCCACATGACGGCTAACAACTGTCCATAACTCTAGTTCCAAGGGGATCCAATGCCCTGTTGTGTCCTCCGTGGACAATGCATGACACAGGTGCACTTGCACATATAAAGGCATAACACTCATAGACATAAAAAATAAATAAATAGCGGCCGGGTGTGGTGGCACACGCCTTTAATCCCAGCACTTGGGAGGCAGAGGCAGGCGGATCTCTGTGAGTTCAAGGCCAGCCTGGTCTACATAGTGAGTTCCAGGACAGCTGGGGCTACGGAGAGACCCTGTCTCAAAAAGACCAAAAAAATAAATAAAAACCTAGAGTGTTACACTAGGTAAATGTGATAGGCATCTGAGTAACAACATTTTTAAAATAAAATATAAACTTTTTATTTATTTTAACTATGTGTATGAGTGTTTTGCCTATAGGTATGTATGTGTACTGTGAGAAGTGCCTGAGAAGGCTAGAAAAGAGGGCACTGGATCCTCTGGAACTGGGGTTACAGGTGGTTGCTAGCCGCCATGTGGGCAGTGCTGGGAACCAAAGCCAAGTGCTCTTAACTGCTAAGCCATTTCTCTAGTCCCCTGAGTAAAACTATTTTTAAAGGAAATAATCAAAGGGGCTGGGAGATGGCTCAGTTGGTATAAAGTGCTTGCCACGCAAGCATGAAGACCTGGTTTGAGTCCCAGGTACAAATTCTGGTATAATGGCACATACTTGTAATCCCAGCACTGGGAAAGCAGAGAAAAGGGTGTTTTCTGGCTAGCCAGTCTAGCCTAACTGACAAACCTCAGGTCCTAATAAGAAACATTGTCTCAAAAAACAAGGTGGATGGCACCAGAGGCAGGACATCTGAAGTTGACCTCTGGCCTACACACAGACATACATACACACACACACACACACACACACACACACACACACACACACAAAACAACTTAGTACATTACCTGTAATCGTTTCGATCATCAGCTTTTATTCCAGGCCAATCTCTCTTCAGGTACTGGCTAGCCAACTTCTGGATACCCTATTAAAAATAAATTTATTTCTAAAATAAGTATTGTGCTGTAAGGAAGCTCCTTTCCTTAAAAAACATTAGTTAGAAAATTTCCATTTTTATAAACATAAACTTAATTCAGAAGAAACAATTGATAAATGACAGGAGAACACTTCAACCCTCTCTCATTATGGCCTACTTTTAAGAAAACTGTATTCACTTGGAACAGACATACACTGGCTCCTAAAATTAATCAGCAAACTTGATTTCCATATGAGCAAATCTCAAGACCGATTTTTAAGCATCTTTTTATTTAAAAAAAAATACCATGATATGTCGTTTCAAATAAAAAAAGTTTTACAAAGAAATATACCTACTATTATCCATACAACATGAATCTGAACATAACAGAATATTTGTCTATAGTAAACTGAGAGTATAGGGATTTGAACAAAGAAGATCATTTTGTTGGGTAGTAAGTTAAAAAATTCATTCCAACCATATGATGTATTACTTTTAGATAGCACATATGTGATCCTCTAACAAGAGAGCAGAGCCCAATGGAGTGGCTACAGAAATCACTGACTTTAGGATACGTACGTACTTCTACACTTACAGCTATAAAAGAATACCACACTGAAATAAAGGATAATTAGAGGAACAGATTGTCTACTTTAAGCAAAGGTGTCAAGAGAAAAATCAATGCTTCACTCTATATATGATACCTTTTAGTAAGATCTGCTGCCAAATCAATTTGGTTTAGCTTATTGTTGAATGCAGGCATTGAAATATCATTCTTTCAGTCCAAAGTGCAGCAAGAGCTCCCTTTGGATCTCAAGTTCTTCCTGAACTTGGCAGTAGTTTGACTTCACTGGTTTCAAGTACTATGGTCTATAAGAATGTATATACAACTACAACCCAAAGTCCTACCGCTTAACAGCTCTTGTACTCTGGAACCCAGAGAGCAAGCCTTCTCTGAATATGTACAGTATTTTCTACTTCTGTACCTAGTTCATACTGTTTCTATAACACAAAATATCTTCCTACCACATCTCATTTCTACCCTCAATTCTTACTTCCCTTTCTTTGAAAGACTATGAACATTTCCTAACACAAAATACTAAGAATTATAAGCAGAACAATATAAAAAATTTCATTGGACAGGTATTTCATTCTATTAAAATAATTCATAATTTTCTGCATTTAAGGCCTGGAAGTCTCTAAAAAACTTCTTCTGAAATATCTGGTTTCCCTGAAGTATAGTTCTTAATGGAAAAACAGGATAAATATTTGATTGTTCAGTTCTGGCCCATTATAAGCTCATATTTTAAATGGATGAGTTCTAATTAATTATAGTCACATATGTGGTCTGCAGGAGGCCTTCCAAATTGGCTCCCACATCATGACCCCAGCAGATTTTGACTGATTTGTTTTCTTTTCCAGTTCCTGTCCCAAGTGATAGGCTTTTTCCACAGACTCCTAAGAAACTATGTAGAATACATAAGCTAGGCGTGTCCTCATTCTTTCCGTCACTGTGTCCTTCTCTGAAAGGCCTTTCTAATGTAACCACTATATACAGAGTAGCTCACCTCCACTCAGTGACCCTGTCACATGGTCCCATTTATTCATAATCCTCATACACAGTTACTGTCTTGTTAAAATATTTTTTTTTTGTTAATTAGTTGTAAGTTCCTTCAGGTAGGGAATCAGGTTTCTTTCACTTACTTGTTAGTTATCAGTAAAGCACTACATCTCCTAGGCTATAGCAGAGTAGCTAGCATTTAGTTGTTGCCAAAATGTCTACTGACTGCATGAGTAAGTTTCATTTACATTACTCTGCTTCTAGTGTATAATACTAATCTTTTGTGGTTTTCCCATTGTAGGTTTGAAGTGTTTGAATCAAGATTTCTGTGGTCCTTATTTTTTTTTTTTTTTTTTTTTTTGGTCTTTTTGAGACAGGGACTGCCTGCAGCCTCAGCTGTCCTGGAACTCACTATGTAGAACAGGGTGGCCTTGAACTCACAGAGATCCGCCTGCCTCTGCCTCCCGAGTGCTGGGATTAAAGGCATGCGCCACCACGCCCGGGTCTTTAAATTTTATATAGTCAAAGGAAAAATGATACTAGATTTCTGAGATTGTGATTACTGGTTTTGATCATAAATAAGTTCCTCAATAAAATTATAGTCAAATTGGGCCATCCTTATGATTGAAAGAGATTATGTGTGAGCCTAAAGCAATGAAAACAATCTGGTTTATTTCACATTACACTTTAATTTTTGTGAAAGTTTAACTAAGTCAAGATCCCTGAATCCAAAGAACTCATAATCTATAGAGAAATAAGAGATTCAAAGAACTCATAATCTGTAGAAAATAAGAGGTATAAAACAATATGCCAAGCAACAAACGTGTTACTAGCAAAAAAGAAAAATAAAAGATAAAGTGATATAAATAAGAAAATGATGTAACATTATCTTAACAAATCACATATGACAGTGATTTTCAGTTCAATCACCTCTGAAGTGTGTGTACACTTCATACTGAACATGGGCTAAGACATGAGCCTTTTATTATGAGAGGCAAGGATGCAATGACAGCTCTCTCAAGTTTACACAGAACAAATACTCTATTTAATAGACAGTTTCACACATCCATTTCTCTTAACTCTGTAACAGAAAGGAAATAGTATACCTCAGAAGATTCAGCTTTTACTTAAGGTGATATACTTCATAGATAGTTATATTTGAGCCAGATGTGGTGGTAACATACCTATAATCTCAGTACTTAGGAGGGAGAGGCAGAAGGATTGCTACAACTTTGAGGGCAGCCTGTTCTACACAGCAAATTACAGGCCTGTCTCAAGGTAGCAACAACTAGCAAAGTTTGAGCTAGAATCCCATTTACCAAAAGTCTTTGAAAAAAGACATTATTTAGAGTAGATTTTATCTAATTAAAAAACAAACTATAAAATTACATTAACTTGTTAACTTTTGTGCATTATAAATTACAACAGCAACTTCTAGAGCTCTAAACCACAAAGCTGGACTGTACTGAACTGAATGAACCTTTCAGAAATGAGATGAGGGATTCATGAAATAGACAAACAGTGGCTCTCTAGATGAAAGACTTTATTCAAGTTAGTTCACAGAGACAGGAATCATGACTTCTATGTGCTCTATGCAGCTGTTCAAGATCTAATCTGCATAGATGCTCAGAAATATTCCTGGCCATTATCATTAAGGTCCTAAATAACATTTCATGCCTCTGAAGGCATTCTATTATACTTAAATGAACTGACTTGCCTTCTAAATTATGCTTAAAGCTCCATCTGATAGAATAATGGTTTACTTACAAAAGAAAATTATCCACAATAATTAATTTGCTAAGGAAAATAAACTATTGGCTAGCAATTTCTAAATGTTTTTTGTTGTTGTTACTACTCTGGCCCATGGGGAATGGTATTACTCTCTAAAACTGGTCACCATGCATACACTTATTTATATTATCTTGCATGCCACAGATGCATAGAGTTCCTTTGACTTGCAATATAGTTCCCACTGGAGCACTGACTTTCATAAAAATGTAGTGCTATCAAGACAGACTTTGGAACATCCAATGGCATCCCATTCCAACTTTTAAAAAAGCTATCAGTGTCTAATATAAGACTTGCTTTGTTTTATCATTCAATGACACTTGCTGTATTGCCTTAACAAGTGAAGAAACACAAAGAAAGTCACTGTTAAGTAGACACTGGGAAATGGACTGAGGGTTTAACCTTTGGCCCAATCACGACAGCAAGCTGAGCTGGAGTGTGCTCATGGCTCTCCCACAGGCCATTCTGCAGTCATTCTTCCATCAGCAGATTGAAATCAATACTGAAATTTTACTAAGGGACTGGGCACCAGGTAGCTTTTTAAAATATTAGGAAATCATATTCTTTGCATAGTATGCTTTTTTGTCATGAAATTCCTAATGTGACTTAAATTATCTTTTTTGTTTTGTTCTTTTGAGATAGGATCTCCCTGTAGCCCCATCTGGTCTGGAACTTGCTATATTGACCTGGCTGGCCTCAGTCTCACAGAGATCTACCTGCTTCTGCCTCCCCAGTGCTGGGATTAAAGGTGTGTACCACCATGCCCAGTTTTATAAATGATCTTTTAAAAATAAATCCACTGCATAAGCTGGACACTTCTCAAGCTGATGGAAAGATGTGATGACTGTCTTTACTGCATTCTTACATCACTTTACTAGTAACAAATTACTTTAGTCCCACTCTTACAGAAAGTTTTGAAATGTTTTTCATTGTTTTGTGTTACATATATTGCATTAGGGAAAAAAATGAAGTGTATAGTTTTAAATAACATAAACGACCTTTACTTACTTTTCCATGAATTTCATGATGAAATATTAATGTTTTATATATATTAAACAATAAAGACATATTTTAGCCTTTTTCCTATTATTGATAATAAAGGTTAATTTTATTTGACTAAATAAGAAAAAACAAGATCTGCCTGTCTGGGTTTGTCTGTCTGTCTGTAAATTAGGTATTGAACACAGTCTTATTGCATGCTACACAAGCACATCTTTGATCCTAGCATTCAGGAGGCAGAGGCAGGTGAATCTCTGTGAGACTGAGGTCACTCTGGTCTACATAGTGAGTTCCAAACCAGCTGGGGCTATAGGGAGACCCTGTTTCAGAAAACACAAAACAAAACAAAACAAAACAAAACAAAACAAAACAAAACAAAACAAGGGGCTAGAGAGATTGCTCAGTGGTTAAGAGCACTGGCTACTCTTACAGAGGACCTAGGTTCAATTACCAGCACCCACATGGCAACTAACAACCATCTATAACTCCAGTTATAGAGGAATCCAAATCCCTATTCTGACCTCCAAGGGTATCACACAACACAGGTACACTTACATAAATACAGGCAATACATTCTTACATATAAAATAAAAATAAATAAAACTTTTAAAAACAAAATTAATTAAAAAAATTGTATATGAATGTTTGCCTGCATGATGTA